ATATTACATTTTGGTCCTTAAGCATGGGAGCTTGAGACAGACCCCCATGAGTCTGACTGCCATTAAGTGGGTCTTGGTGTGTATGTGAATGATGGAGGAATGTGGAATGTTGTACCTTTTAGTATAGGTTATTAAAATCTGTATATTTAAACTGACTTTGAATCGATGCAAATTAGTGTTGTGCCTTGAAATATTTGAGTATTTACCGTACCTTTAGCAATAATGACGTGTACAATTGTGACCGTCCATCACAAACGGGCCGTAAAGTCGGCATAATTATGTAGTTTTGTGTTACGAGCTAAAATAGGTGAAAATGCATTAGGTTTGGTAAAATGGGATTTTTGTGTATATGAAATGATCAGTTAATAAACTTACATTATACGAGGTTTCATGGCAATCTGATTTCTCTAAATACATAATTTAAGCATTTTATTTTGAGTATGTATCCAAGAAATGATGCTAGCTCTCCGAAAACCCATCTTAGAGATCGGAAAATCGGAGAAATCATCGCTGTTTTCACATGCTTGTATCTTCCATTGTGAATGGCTTTTGACCTGGCTTTGACGTCAGATCTGCCTAGTATATACATATAAATGTTTCTGATTGGTTAATCTTTGGTTCTCTCTTGAAATATTCATTTTCTGACCAATAAAGGATAGTGTATCTCGTGAATTTCTTATGTAAATTCTGTAAACAATGGTTGTCAAGCTTGTATCAAGCCTTCTCATTGGTCGAGAGGCCGAAAAAATTAGTCTCTTCATGATCCAGACTACTAAAGCATGCAGAGCAACGTGCGTGACAGCGATGTAAACACAAGCGTCATGTCTTCCGAGTCAGCTGCTTCACGTATTGCCGATGCAATTAATGATGCGAAATGCCTTCGTTTATCGGAAAATGATCAAGTATTATTATCAAATATGATACAAGATTATTTTGATGATCCGATTGAAGATGAAAACGACACCGATACTGAGGATGAGGATGAACAATCCAGTAATGAAAGTGACGACGATGCTGGCCAAGCCGAAGATGGTGATGACAATGTTGACGACGATGATCACCCTGATGTAAATATCCAAGATGAAATTTGGGAGGAGGAAGGGGATGAAAGCTATATGGTTGGTGATCTTGCGGGGGATAATTTTTTGAGAAATAGTGGTTTCAACTGCAGTATGTCAGAAAGTGATGAGAAGGTAGGAATTCTTTATTTTTATCAATATTAACGAATAAACAAGTCAGCTTAGGCCTGTCTAGGCCTAGGCCTAGTTAATTTTTTAGGCTTATCCAAGCGAGTCGAGTGGGCCTACAATTTTCGTCTTAATTATAACAAGTAATGGTTATTGATTAAATATTGTCAACCCATCCTTACTGACAGGGTGAATCACAGTTGGTAGGCCTAGTGTGGCCTAAAATTTAAAGTAATGTTGATTGCATAAAATGTACCAACTACTGTCCCAGCACTGACTGGCCTGTCAAATTGCACACAATTCTATATTAGCGGGGTGTCTGTCCGTTGCTTCGGCAAATACAGTACTTTGAATGGCAGTGGTAATAAAGATACTTTGCTTGTGCTAATCGTAATTATAGTTGTATCAGTTTAAAGGTAACGAAAGCAAAATTTGCTGTATTACAATCACATTAATAATAATATTATGATAACATTACAGGAAATGGAAAACATTCGAACAAAGAAGTGTAGGTGTCGGAAACCATACGCAGGAATGGGTTGCAGCCATAAATTTTTGGATGAGTGGATTTTCCAGGTACGGTGCCAAATAAACGCATTAACTCCAGACCAGAAGTGCATGTTCCTACTAGGAAAGATTTCTAGTGGTGGAGTCCGGACATCTGAATTAACAGAATCTTCAAAGAAAATTAACAAAAACCGGAAACGTGGACGTACAAGTATTGGCTACTTTGTTGATGGATTGAAAGTGTGCAGAGATGTATTCTGTTTTATTCATATGTAAGTAATGTTGTATTATTCTAATTTATTGATTACAATGTAACAGTTTCATAATGTTCTTTTTTATGTATGAATGGTAATCTGACAGTATATGTATCTATCTTTTTTGATAATGTAGGATGAGTGATAAAACATTGACAGCATTAGTCAAGCATTACCTATCGAATGGTATTGAGTTGAAAACAAAGAGGTCTGGTGGTTGCGGAAATAACACTAGAAAGTTCAGCGGAGAGGACCACAAACGTGCTGTGGAGTTTATCACAGGCTATGCTGAAGTCCATGCTCTCGTAATACCTGGCCGTGTTCCTGGGTTTAAAAGTGCTGACCCCCGAACAAGACTTTTGCCATGCAATGTCACCAAAGCAAAGGTTTGGAGGCTTTACAAAAAGGCGTTACAAGAAATGACAAGCCCAGATGGGAAAGGTAATTACAAAATATATTTTAATGGTTTTTAACATTCCATGCTTTTAAACAAAAATTAATTTTTTTAATTATTTTTCAGCTCAAAAGGATATCAATATTTTGTGTTGACCACCATATTCTAGATGCTGCAATGTAACTGAAATATTTAGTCTAAAAAATTACATTAAACATAACCCTTTCTCTTTTTAGAGTATCATGTTTTGGGGAGATCATCATTCTATAATTCGTGGAATGCCTACTGCCCCTATGTTCGTACGACAAAGCCACGTACAGATTTATGCTGGACCTGCCAAAAAAACAACCGCAAGGTCTACCAGTCAGCGAATCAAACACTTGCTGAGAAACAACAACTTCTTAAAGATCAAGAGGAGCATCTGCGGGTTGTGCAGCAGGAAAGGAAGCTATACCAATTGGAGTCGGCCGATGCAAAAGTATCTGTTGATCAGGATCCTGCAGACCTTGGAAAACATGACCAATGCTCTCGCCAAGGTGCAATGCACTACAGTTTTGATTATGCCCAACAGGTACTGGTGTTTTAAATTATTATTATTGTTATTATTATTATTATTATTATTATTATTATTATTATTATTAATATTATATAAAGTTAAATCCAATTACTTGCTTTAATTGATCCTTCCACCTTTTTATACCTGTTTTTTTTTTTTTTTCAACAATAACATGATATCCACGGTGCTCTTACCAGCTTCGTGAGACTGGTTCTGAAACATTTTGCAAATGATAACACATGAATTTATAGCGCAGATATTTTTTTTAATGCAATTATTTTATTTTCATTTCAGGTGTTTTTCCCCAACGACCCGGAGCAGCCTGGCCCAACATTTTTTCTGACTGCTCGCAAATGTGGTGTATTCGGCGTGCACTGTGAGGGTGTCACTAAGCAGGTGAACTTTTTGATCGATGAGAGTGTGACCACTGGTAAGGGCTCCAACTCAGTTGTGTCCTTCATGGATCATTATTTTGACCACTACGGTTTAGGATAACAGCATCTTCTTCTCCATTGTGATAATTGTAGTGGTCAAAATAAAAATCGTATAATGATGGCGTACTTGTGTTGGAGAACACTGCATGGTTTACACAAGCGGATTGGCATTAAATTTCTGGTAGCAGGCCACACTAAGTTTGCCCCAGACTGGTGCTTTGGACTGTTTAAGCAACAGTATCGTACCTCGCATGTTTCATGCTTAAATGATATTGCTGACTGCTGTAGAAGGGCAACAACAGCTGAAGTAAATGTACCTCAGCTTGTGGGAAATGAGGCAGGAGTGGTCTATGTACCTACTAGGGACTGGAAGTCATTCCTGACACAATTTTTTAAAGCTGTACCAAACATAAAGTCATCGCATTGCTTTAGATTTGACTGCGAAAACCCTGGAGTAATATTTATGAAGAAATTTTCTGATTCAGAGGAGATCGCTTTCCAACTGTTAAAGAATGGCCATGACTTGCCTCCTGCCGAATATCCACCTGTGATAACGCCACCTGGATTATCGACTAAACGAAAACATTATCTATTCAATGAAATACGGCAATATTGTGCTCAAGATGGAAGGCAAGATGTTACATGCCCAGTGCCAGATGAAGGTGTGTCATCATCTGAAGATGATATGTAAAAAATAAGAATAGAACAACCCGCAAAGTGCACGTCTGCATAGCGCGCTTGCCGCTTTAGCTGCGCTTTTACAAGTCGCACGAAGCGCGGAAAACACATTATTGATAGTGTGGATGAATGCAGTACTGTAAATAAATACTTTGAATTATATTTTGTGTCTCATGTTTTTGTTGAT